GTCCTGACAATGGGCCCGCTTGTCGTACTGACTCTGTCCTTGTCGACCACCTTATTTCGGTATTTGGACGCTATGGCTCCGCCAAATAAATGAGACCCAGTAATCATTCATTATATCTATTTAGTCCCGTGCTTCTCGTTTATGTGGCATGGTACGCTTTATTTGATCGCGATCCGTGGAAGGGCGGAGGGAACCGAGTCAACGACGTTCTAAAGAACAGGCTGTATTTGCCAGAGCATATCCGGTAGGGACTGACCGAGTAATTGTGATCCGCGGGTGCATCAACGGCTAATGCCTTGAATGCCAGCGACTATTTCCCGCAAGAGTTGCACAAAGAGGCGGATTTAGATCCAGAAAACGGGCCCTATCTGATGGGTTTGCATCCTCATGGCATTATCTGTAAGGGTGGCTGACTATTAAGCTTGTGGAATGTGTACCGTTAACTATCAATCTCCAGGCTACAGTCATTTTGTCAACGTTCTCACGGATGTCACCGGATTCAAATCTCTCTTTCCGTCCATCGACCGCCGTATTGCCACGCTCAATATCATCTTCCTCTTTCCGTTCATTCGAGAGCTCGCATTGATTCATGGTCTTATTAGCGTTGAAAAGAATTCGATCAAATACTGGCTGAGTAGAGGTCGAAATAAGGCTGTTGGAGTTGTGATTGGCGGGGCAGCCGAGAGCTTGGAGTGTTTTGAGGGAACGAATAGGATCGTCTTGAAGAAAAGGAAGGGTTTCTTTAAGGTTGCTTTGGAAACTGGGTAAGAGCACGCTGCATCTCTTCTAGAATTCATTTCCTTAACCAGCAAACAGTGCAGCCCTCGTTCCGATATACAGTTTTGGAGAAACATCGCTATGGAATCAAATGAGCCACCCTATGCTCTACAAACTTCAAAAAGCACTCCTGCGACTATGCGGCTTCACCATACCTCTGGCTTACGGACGATGGTATACACTGATCCCGCGACAGCAACGTGTCGTCACCGTTGGTACGTTGCAGCCTTGCTAAGGACAGGTAACCCCCCTGATACGTTGCCTATCATACTTGCAGTAGGAAAACCGATACCCGTTACTAAAACGGAAAATCCAACCTCGACTCAAATCGACGAACTGCAAGCAAAATACATTCAAGCTCTGCAGAGCCTTTATGACAAATATAAGGATGAGTACGACAAGGTAGGAATGTCTGTGATCTCTATGTCTCGTTGCACAACCTCTCACATTGCTATAGGATCGGAAAGAGGAGTTGAAGATTGTAGGATGAATCAATGCATATGAGGCAGATTAAGGGATCTGAGTATGAGGAAAGGCGGAGGAAGTAGTAATTAAAGGCACAAACAGGAAACAAGAATTCTTTGACAGCAATCGCGTCAGACAATGAGTTAGCGTCCTGCGATATGGTTAACTGCCCTTGGTCATCTAAACTG